GAACAGGAAGGATTCTCCTGGCTCTCACGGCTAACGTTCTGCTGCCACATGGTTATCTTCTTCTTGCTGCTACTCCTATGGAAAATCGGTTCCAGGTCCTGGTGGTCCTGATGGAGACATCTGTGTTGCAAATATTAGTAAGGGCATGGGGGCTGGAACTAGGTGATCTTTAAGGTCCCTTCCAACCCTTACCGTTCTATGATTCTATGATTCTATGATTCTATGATTCTCATTTTCAGCCTAAACCTGATTATATTTTGTATATATGCATTTGTTCTTATGCTCATGCTGTCTTTTATTTCAAGAACTTACTTTCTTTTTCTAGGGTTTGCTTTCAGTGCACTTTTTCACAACAGTCATGTCCCATCTCAGTGTCCTTTGCTAGGCTAGCAAGCCAAGCTCCCGTGCTCTCCTATAGATCCTTTTGCGTCTTTCTGCACACCTTTCTAGAACAGGAGCGACCAGCACATACACCGTATTTCGGAAGAAGTGTCCCCAGGACTTTGTACAGGCTGACACATCTCTGTCTTGATTCCAGCTGATGCATCCCAAGATTACATTTGCCCTTTGTGCAGCTATGAGGCCTTTTCAGCTCACGGCCATCCTGGGAACAGCAAGTATTTCTTTGCCTTAGTTCCTAATCATTTCCAAATGATGAGCTTATGCTACAAATCTTTGTTACTAGTTTCCCGATTAATGACATTGTGTTCTGTAGGGATAAGTTTAATCTCAGTCTTATCATTCAAGTTCTCAAGGCTGCACAGTTCTTCCAAAGAGTTTTCAAACATTTTTAACTGGCTTCTGACTAGGAAAAATAAGAAGAAAATAATGAAGCAGCAGAGAAAAACTACTTTATGTATTGTTTCATTGTTCCAGTTGTTTATCCTAATTTTGCTCATTAGTTTGACCTTTATTTCCTTCCTTATTTTCTAAGAGAAAAGTGGTTATGCTGGAGAGGAGTGTAAGATGATGAAAAATTGGAAAAGTGAAAACGTGCAGTTGTTGAATGAAAAAATGAATAACATTTTATTTCATAATAAAACAGGAGCTTTTATTAAAGAAATCCTATTTGAAAAATCCTTATATTGATACTTTCCCAGAAAAAGCTTAATCAAGGAAAAATCACTCCATTATTCTAAGAATGTATTACATTAAACAAAACAAATTTCTTTAGAGACAGTAATTCTTGTGTGTAGCACGGATAAAGAAATAGAAAAAAAACCAGAACCCACTGTGGAGAAAATCATAGTCTGACCATGAAGGACCTCTAGTGGCATAAATATACTTACAATTAAAATAAAAAAATCTTGCTCATCACTTTACAAGGAATCACTTCTGCAGTTTCAGATTTTAAGTTCAATTTGTGCGATTTTTTTGTCTTTCCATTTGTTGATAAGGTAAATGCAGAAAATGTTATTATGTTACAGTAATATGCAGTAAAGTGTCTAGGCATACAATGGCATTGCACTTGAAGTTCTCTGCAACTTAAAGCAGATGCTCTCACTTAAAAATTACGTTCTGTGTTTTTACTTGTTGTCATTGTTATCTACTTTTATCACCTACTCAAACTCAGGATTTTCTCAGCAGGAGAAACAGCCTGATAGGACACACTGAAATACAACTGTTTAACAAAAAGGAGTCAAAAGCAGATGATAATAAAAGAGCTATGTCTGTGTCTCATTTGTTATGGCTGCGATAATTCTTTTATCTGTTGTCAGCTGAAAAGTAATTTTTTTGGAAAAGCAGCAAAAAAAGCTATGATGTGAGTTTTGGGTTATCCTTCAGCCATTCTAGCAGGTAACCAACTATAACAAATACTTAGATTCTTAGTTCCTTTCAACCATACTTCAAAATAGTTTGATATTTTAGGTACAAATTTTGAACAGAAAGAAATAATTTTTAAAGAATTCTACAAAAGTATTGCTAATAGTTTTTTGTCAGTGGTTTTTCTAAGTCAGAAAAGAGGCACATGCCTAGTAGTCTAGAGGCCCATGAAGCACTCACATACATCCTGCATGCAGATAAACCCTACCCACTCCCAGGGATTTCACTGCCCTGGAAAGGACACAGTAAACCATGTTACAGTGGAACTAGTCACTTTTGCAGAGCGCAGCGAGCAGAGTTTCTCTGTCTGAAGGACCATGCACAGCCGTAGATGCGCACCCTCCCCAGCTTCCACCGGTGGGACGGTGCGAGGGAGCGATGATACCACCTCTGGGCTGAGCAGAGTCTCTGGTGTCTCCGGAGCCCGCCACCCTGGCTGGCACACACTCCAGGCAGCCGTGTGCTTCGCTGCGGCGAGGCAGGCCCCCCGGGAAGAAACCCAGAAACACACAGCCATGGTCACGCGTGAGGTGAACGCTGAATCGTAGTAAAAGCAGGAGCCTGGAGCGGGAGCAGCTGAACACAAAGTCGTGTTTAGGCGTCTCAGATATCTCTGCATTTGTGGCCATGTTGTCCACAAGCCGTAAAAACTTCATGAGACAGCAAAGTTTATCATACTCTGAAATGAACTTAGTCCCCAGTCTAACAAAGGGCACTTTCAAGAATGGTTGTTGCTGTTGGGTTTTTTTTAACCTTTTTTTTTTTCTTTTGTTAGAGAAATTAAATTAAAAGAAGTCTCTGCCTGTTTAAACTCTCATTAGTTTGTTTCGTATTTTAGCAGCAGGCAGATACCCTCCCTGGGACTGCAATCCTTCTGCAGCTGAGCAGCTCCCGTGTAAAGCCCCATCCTGGCAGTGGCTGGCTGGTGGGAGGCTGCTGCTGCTGCCTGCCTGTAGCAAGGAATTCCAAGAGGCTGAGCTGAAAGGGAGACAAAAAGCACCAAAGACGTGATTTTCCATCTCTGGAGAATGGGCGGCAGATTGCAGTTACAGGATAAATAAAACTAAAAGCAAAGATAGTAGTACTGCAGTTGTGGAGCTCAGATATGAAATGTGCAGGGTCTGATACTTCTGCTGCTTTTTTTTTTTCATCTTGTTTTTATTTTAGGTTATGTAAATTTGTGACCGGCATCACCTGGCTCATAACTATCATAACACTGAAACTCATCTTGACAGATTGATTTCTTGCACAAATCACAGCAGGATTTTTCTTGGATTAGGGATTCCAAGTAAAAAAATCCATAAACTATTCTGTTACACAAGTGAAGGAAAAACACATAAAATCTCAATATAATACAGAAATGGGTATGTATATATGTAAATGTAGGAGTGTATTTATGAATGCTCTTTTAAGACATATAATGATACAGCTTTTCTCTCATATTGACCTACAGCTTTAATATGTTGAGTACCTGAAGGAGGCCTACAGGAAGGACAGAGAGGGACTTTTCACTAAGGTGTGTAGTGACAGGAAAAGGGGAAACGGCTCTGAACTAAAAGAGGGCAGATTTAGATTAGATATTAGGAAGAAATTCTTCACCATAAGGGTGGTGAGGCCCTGGCACAGGCTGCCCAGAGAAGCTGTGGATGCCCCCTCCCTGGCAGTGTTCAAGGCCAGGTTGGGTAGAGCTCTGAGCAACCTGGTCTAGTGGAAGATGTCCCTGCTCATGGCAGGGGGGTTAGAACCAGATGATCTATAAGGTCCCTTCCAACCCAAACCATTCTATGATTCTATGATTCTAATATTACAGAGTCACAGAGCTGAAGAGGGGATCCTCTCCCACGTAGCCAATGCCTTAGTGGTTAGGGCCTGGCCTTTGGGAAGTGGGAGACTAAAATTCACCTTTCTGCTGAAAAGGGTAGAGAGAAGCAGTGTCTTGTGGCAGAAAGGATGTGGGCACAGCCAGGACGGGGACAAACATCTGAACCAAGGGAGGGAGAATATGGCTCTTCCTAGAGGCACCTCTGGGTTTTGATTCCATCACCTGGGACACAGAAACAGCACCGTTAAAAGCAGGTGTCATCGAAAAAAACCCCAAACTACACCAAGGTATGCAGAATGCCACCAGGTTCTCCACGTGAGCTTGGCGAGGATCTGGGTGCAGACAACCAGGACGAGATCAGTCGCCAGGGACGGGAGCTGCCGGCAGCGAGCTGGGCGCGGGAGACTTACACAGAGGAGCTCCGCTGGGAGAAACTAAATCTCACGCTCTAGAGTCACTTTGGCTCCCGTAACTGGAAGAAAGGCGAGACCCGACCC